CTTACTCATCAACTTTGTTGACACGACAAAGTATTCGATAGTTTGGACAGGGAAACACTATGGAAACTTCTTTCTACGGTTCAGAAACATGGAGAACTACAAAATCACTACAAAACAAGTTACAAGTTTTTATCAATAAATGCCTTAGATACATCTTAAAAATCTGGTGGCCAAGGAAGATATCCAACGAGAACTGTGGAGCAAAACCAATCAGGATGAGATCAGCAACCCAATAAAGAGAAGTGGGGATAGGCCATACTTTAAGGAAAGACCCTACAAATGTCACCAAGCAGGCCCTAGACTACAACCCGCAGGGGAAAAGAAAACAGGGCAGACCCAGGAACAACTGGCGTACCGCTCTCTACAAAATCTGAAAAATATCCGTTCCATGGGGGGAGGGAGCCAAAGCTGTGGCAGAGACGTGGAGACTCATGGTGGACGCCCTATGCTCCTCAGGGGGCCAAGATGATTAAGATTAGGAAGAATAGAAGAGTGTGTAAAGATTGCTCATACCATTACAGATGCACTTTAATTCAAGGTAAGGCAAGCTTTTACTAATTTACTTGATGTTTGATATTGATTATCTTTTATAGGACCTACTTTTAGTGTTCCTTACCTGGAGTGCTGTTACCCAACACAGAATCAGGATAGTCTTCACGAAAAAAATATCCATTTTATGCTTTTCGAAAGTTGAATTAAATTAATTACTGTTGTGCAGTTCTTCAACTCCAGCATTGCTGAATCCGGGTCATAAAGTGCCACGTCTAATCCTAATAATCCTTACGTTTCCTGCATCACCAAGTAAGGAATTGATTCACTACCATTTTTTCCTCCTAAATACAGTATAGCATCAGTTAAAATGTATGAATGAGCGATAAGTCATAGAAAAGATTGCCCGAGGGTCTGTACGAAGGCAATTCGTGGATCAAAACTTCATTAGCAACAAAATAACCAAACTGCAAAGAATTTGTATAGGCTTTAATAATTTGTAATTTATAGCTTTGTTTCTTATACGATTGCATTATTCCTTTGATATACCGGTAGTTTTATATGATTTTCTGTTCTATGAGTATGAAATAGAAACAAACAAACGTTGCCTAACTGATCATACTGTAATTGATCGCCCAAAACGCCTCAGAAGTTATCTTCGGGAGTATAGAAAACAAAAAATTTGCGGGGCATGCCCCTAGGGTGATGTTATCTCGATCGGCCCCCACTATCTCCCCCCCCCCACTTCGGAAATCTCTACACCCGCCCCGATCATAATCATCATTATCATCCTCATTATCATCCTTGATTACCATATACAACATCATCATCATCATTGAATTTGTATTCATGATCGTTGTCATCATCATAATTATTATTTTGATTGAAGGTAAGGTTTGCAAAGGGATTGGTAAACTGTATCAATCTCACGCCTGCAGTGATAATTCTACAATATCTAGGCCTCGATTAAAATGATGGCCTTTTTTAATATCCCCCAAAAATAAACCTTGCAAAATAATGTTCGTATTTAATTTATTGGCAATTGCAATCAAGCTATTTAACAAAACTTTTGACCTTAAATAATAAATAGGCCTATGTTTTACTTACAATTTAAAACAAAGATATAATTCCATTTCAAATTCTTGAGAAACCTTTGAAATACGGTAAATAACTCTTGATGGAAATGAACTTGTTATCTATACTGTATATTGTGATTGAGTTGTCCCGCTTTATGTCATTTTGTATTGCTTCTCTCTGAACAATAAATACTTTCATTCGTTTACATCAAAACGTTAATAATTAATTTGTTACCAATAGTTGGCGACCATAATTAGTATGACGTATGACGTAATCATGATGCAAATGACGTAACACAATGAATTTTAAAATGTTGTGTATTTATGAATATAGTTAAAATATTGTCTCTTTTAAAATAAAATATCAACTGTACTGTATAACTGTGCGACGAATGTCAGCATGTTGAAGTTAGTTAACAATCTTGTGCAAATACATGGGCATAATATTTACAATTCATAGAATGAATTCATAGTGAAGTAATAATTTAATGTCTCTATACAATATATTTTAAATTTTTTTAAATAATCTACACTAAGAGTGTAAAACAAGCATGTCCATTGCTGACAAAATCCTCTTGAAAGTTAACATAATTCATGTTACAAAAAGTATGTCTTCGCGTGAATTCACCATGGAGGTATTGTAAACCTGATCACGCAACTTGGCCTATTTTTGTATTTCTTAATCATGAAGCCATAATAGTACACAAAAGAGACAAGCAAGATTTACTTTTCGTTGAAAATTAATCAAAATTAATAAATAAATAGGCCCAAGTTTACAATGTGAATAACTACGCCCTGAAATACTATCACATTCAATGATACCAAATATACATTATTCTTCTCACTCAGGGAATCATTTTCCCCTAATGACATAAATTATAAATAGTCTTCAAACTTGGCCTAAATAGATGGTAAATTATTCATTCAAAATGAATAGTATATTAAGCTTGTAATCGTTTAGATCACTGCTGAATCAGTTTTCCTGAGCATTGCGTTTGAAGTTAGTCTACCCTATCACTTCTAGCATAACATCTACAAGCTCGTCTGTTTCGGTGTAGCCAACATCACGTTTGCCTCGAAGAGGATTACTGTTTGCGTACTGTGAACACTGTTTGGATGCAAGCTTCGCACACTTCGAATTTCCGTTTCCAGAATCACATACGGCGGTTTGACATCTTATGTGCACCTAAAACATAAACAAGGATGTATTTAAATGAATAAGGTAGGCATATTGCGTTTAAACGACCATACAGAGCAACCGAAACGTGTGGTGTTTAAGATAATGGAGCACCTTATTTGCGCAACTGTTTTGGCCGAACATTTCCTTAGCATTTTAATAGTATACAGGTCGATCGAAAAGCAGTTTTGGAGAAGCAGACATTGTTTTAATGCAAAAAGTAAATTCAAAAACGTAATACTTACATCTTCCGAAAGGCCGTAGTAAATAAATGCGAAAGACCGTACTGAGAATTTTTTTACTGACTGAACATTCGAAGGCTCCATCTGTAATGTTCTATCGACTGGACATCTGTTGATGAATAAACAATATTACGACATTATGAGCATTGCTTGATATATCTGTCAATATATAGTAATCTTGCTATCCTGTGATTATGATTGGTTTTCGTAAACGGTTATTATTGTTTAACTGATCATACTGTCTGCTGACCTTAGGAGGTCTTGTTTGGCAGTATGGTAAAGGATAGGCAAACAAATCTGGAACGATACGTGTAACGTACGTATCATTATCATTGCCATAACCATTATAATCCTCCTTCATCATTAATACAACACCCACCATTATCGTCATCGTATTCTTGATCGTTAGTTATCATCACCATAAATATTATTTTCCTTCCTTGCACATACACTATCATCATCATCATTATCATCATCTTTATCATCATTACTATACCACCACCACAACCACATTGAACAGAAAGAACATGCTGACAAAATTACATAACAAATAGGCCTATATGTTCATTCCTCCTTACCCATCTTCAATCAAAACATGTGGACTAACTTTGCAACCCGGAGGCTTGTTTCTTGGTACAGCGTAGCAGTTGTCAATTTGCAGCTCTTTATTTCTATTAACACCTTCAACACTAAAATACAGACGCTTGTTGATCTTGACCGGCAATGGTAATTTCTTCTTGTTCACCTCGGTGCCATACCCTTCATCTTTGTACATCTTCAGCATAGCCTTCAACTCTGATCGTCCGGTGAGACGGATGCCTTTGAGTGTATCGTTTGGTGTGAAGGTGACATCGTAGAAATACGTACCTTTCACTTCACATTCGACGTTAATTCGGAATTTTCTTTTTTCTCTAGTAATTTGTGATTTTTTTCCACCATACGGTTTTGGTGCATCTCGAATTTTATTTTTGAATACCAAACGCTTTGGCTTTGGCTCCTATATTTAAAAAAAAAATGGATAATAAGTATGCATTTTTAAACTTACATTCCTGTACTTTGTAGGCCTTAACATTATATTTGTCAGAAATGGTTTCAGATGTCCCAAGTTGGATGAAGCTAATTCCGGCCTTATGGTAATAAATGAGTTTACCTACACATCTAATTCTAATTTGCCGCGCGTGATGAAATCCAAACGCCAGCTTTCTTTAAGACAATTGAAAACGCAGAATTTGCGGGAGATGTATGGACTCGTTTCATGATTTTTGCTTGCTCACCTTTTCACAATTTCCATGGTCGCCAGGAAACTCCCGCATAGCAAAAGAACTGGACCCTGTGTTTTGTGTAAATTGTATTTCACTATTGAAAATCTTAGTATTCTTTAGGTGAGTTCCAGCTTGTGACATTGTGTTCAGGAATTTGTGTGCTTACCAATTATGCTTATTCATTATACTAGTATAGGCCTACATTTTGAACAGACAATATTTTTGAAAAATTGTAGTTGTTGAATATATGACATAGAATACATTACGATAACCGAGTGTCTTAGCGTACCACCGGCGATCTCCAGCGCTGAACTATTAAGGTCTTTCTCAACCACCGGCGCTCTCCGTCGCCCATACATAGAGGCCAGTATTTACTCGATTTTTACCTATTTCTATTAAGAATTACATGTTGGGATAGATTTCTTTGCATAGCCATGGCCGTATTCGACTGGTCGTTCTTCGTTACCACACCAACCTGCGCAATATGTGCCGAAAATCCTAATTAACGAAGACAAGTCGGATAGAAAACTTGCAAATACTCGACAAAACAAAATGACTGCATAGTTACCGCAATACACGCTGCGTAATCAAGGCTGCTTCGGATTTTTCGTAAAAAAATGTTTTCATCCATTTAAAAAAATTCCTGACGATGACATAATTAATGTCGAAATATTGAATCCCAACACGATGGCGTGTAGGCCTATTTCATAGAGCTATTAAACATTCTTATTCTTATTATATCTCTATGGCCTATTTCAATACTTAGAGTATGTATTATACTTTCTTAAAAAAATTCTGTTAGCCTACAATTATTTTTTGATTTCAATGTGGTATTCAATATTAAAATTTTTATTTTCTGAAATTTAACCTAAATTATATTTTTTTCGGTCACGTGTATAACTTAACGCTGATTAACGCATTCTGGTCCCATTCTGGTTACGTTAATTTTCGTTGTCAACGAAGTCTATTTTACAAACCAGTCGAATGAAAATAATACTCAACGAAAATTCGTGCTCAACGAAATGAACCAGTCGAATAAGCAAGCAAGAAATGATAGTCTTTCGAAAATATTATTTCAAAAGCGATAATTTTTTTTCCAACTTAGATTTTTTTATCCATAAAACCCCAATGGATGCTGAGAAAGTCCTACAGCTGATTTTTGATGATAGCGAGAGCGACGAAGAGGAGTTACAAGGCGAGCTTTTTCAAGGCAGGAACGGCAACGACGACGAGCGGGAGAGAAGCGCTAGCAGCAGTGAGGAGGACGATGGAGAAGACGATCCACTTGGGCCTAGACAGCAACGAATGGTGGACAGATTCGAATGGAAGGATCGTGCTTATGACGATGCTTGGTTAGGTAAATTTATACATTTACTTATATACGAATGCTTATTTGGAACTATTATTACTGTTTTCTATTCTTCAAACATGTTAATTTTTATTATTATTATAGGCCTACCTAGGCCTCCCTAATTCTTTTTTCAATCGCCTTTTTCCCCCTCTAAACTCAACAGAAAGTGACGTAAAACTCAGTTGAAGTGAGCGATCTCTAAAAACGTCAAAAAAAGTGCAGTTCTGCAAAATTAATCCGGCTGCGAAACTATAGTATTATCAGGAAATTTGGTAAGCTATCTTAAGGTGTACTTACCACAACTCTGGTTCCGCAATCATCGAAATCAGTGGTCATAATGTAGTGAGTAGTGTTAAATTTGGTGGCTCTGCAATGTTTGCTCCACGCGTCAATAAAACGCAAGAGATTTGGATTCATGTCGTCCACGTACAGTTTTGGTATGTAAACTGTCATTGATGATGGACCACAGTCAACGGAAGGTGTAGGGATCGCCACTGTTGAAGGAATAAAATACATAATAGACTATTAAACTTTTATAATTGTTTTAAAATTTTCATTTTAAATTTACTGGAGTGTCGTGGGTTCAATTCCTGGCATAGTAACAGGATTATTTCACACGACCAAACCAACTTCACGCCCTAGCCTCATAATGAGAGCATCTGGTGTTTTGGCCGGCATATCCTTGGTCTTGGGCCTGAAACTAATAAATTAAATTACTTACTGAGTCTGAAGAGCCACTTCATTTTGGGAGTGGTGATAGGAGGGCACTCCATTCCACATGCGTCAAGACATTCTACGAAATTGATGCCTTCATCTGGTTCCATCGAGTACATAGTTCCAGGAATCAGTTGTTTGTATTGGTTGGGAAAGCGGATTCTCGTGGGGTCATCTGGGTCGACCTCAACTTGACTTTTATCAGAGACATCAATTTGTAGTACGGGATTGCCAGCCATGTCATTTATATTGATAAACACGGGCTTGGTGGGCCGGTTGAACTGTTGGAGTAGGGTGATTCAACAAATTAGTTTAAAGATATTTAGTTTACTAAGAAGTGAATACAAATCACCATTATTAAAGATGTAATAAAATAATGATATTATTGATACTGATAATAATAGCAATAAAATACTGTTTGATGATATCTTATAATATTATTTATGTATTTATTTTAAAGATTTTTATAACGCACATATCCATTTATATGAAGAAAAAACTGTTAAAGGTGCTTTTTTGGTCATTAGGGAGTATTTCTAGTTTCGCATGTAGTATAGCACTACTAATATCATTCGAATCATTCACCTCCTTCCAGGTACCCATTTATACTTCTGGGTGAAGAAAAGTAAATACCGGTGTATATATATATAAGGTGTCCTGCCTTGCCCAAGGACACAAACAGTGTGACGAGCTCGGGGACAAGCATCAGTCTCAAACCTACGACATTTCGATTGAATGCACAACGCCTTACACACTGTACGACACGCTTCATGATATGATATGGTAAAACAGCACAACACAAAACCACATAATATAACACATGGGTAGGGGTTCGGGTTCAGAACATTGTGGTCGTGAGTCTGAACACACACTGACTTCATTTCCCTGCCAACCATACTTATATCAGTGCAAGGATACGCAGAATATAGGTCTTATAGTCTTGCGATTTATATTAACGTTTTGAAAACTATTAAAAACTTCAAACCCTGATAATGTGAAAAGAACATTGAGATATAATTCTCACCGGTAAATCAAATTTTATGCTCCAGAACTTGTCTTGGACCTCAGCGGTTGACATTGGTTTTGGAAATGATTCTTCTTTGATTATTTGTGGGCCTGCTGGTGGATCTCCAAAGCCTGGTGGAAATTTATCTGAAAGAACGTTGAAGTGTTACACCAAAGTAGATTTTTACAGATACGGGACTACATAAGAACGTAGGCCTACACCCATAACACATCTTATAAAACGTCCAAAGACCTATCAACCGATTTGTCAAAATGAATATGCCGCACGCAGTGTAATGCTTCAACATACAGTAACTCGGAAATATCTTTTAGGAAAAGTCAATCTTACTACTTTATTGTGGAATGCAATCAAACGCCAATCAATATTAGTCACATTAACTGAATCGAACCAGTAGTCCTGAGCTGGTCTTTGCACAAATTGAACTATGTACACTTCCTTCTCGACTGAGGACTGTTACCGACAGACACCTTACACTTCCTTCAAAGTAATGCAGTTTTCGGTTGCTGAATTCGGCCACACATCTCAACCTCTAAGACTAGGCGTAAACAAATACACTAGTGGTGTACTTGGGCCTGCACGTCAATATCCATATTGGGACGATTTGTGCAGTAAAAACGCCAATATCAATATCAAGTATACTTTTTTGGGATTCTTTCTAGCTGTTCCAAATAGTATCAATAGGTACTTACTTTTGACCAAAAGTGTCAATGTTTCATAAGAACTGTAGAACCTGTAAGCAAATGTATAAAACTTGATGAAATACTTATTATGTGCATATTCTAACAAGAAAATAATAGATTTTATGAGAAATTAAAACTGTTTTAATGGATTTTAAGTTACTTAGGTTTACCAATGAGAATACTGTAACTCTCATTATTTTACATATGCCTAACTCAATATTAATAACATTTTCCTATTAATCGTTTTACATTAAGATATGTATAAAATATCGTACCCGTCAACATCGACTGAGTGGAAGAGGATGAAGTGCTTTCCAATGTCATCCTCTTCAGGTGTCCAACTAACTGTTCTGCTCTGGTAATCCTCAAATTTTGTCATTTTACCAATTTTGAATGCTGCACTCGGACGCTCAATAACCAAAACTTTCATTCTAATAAAAAGAACCATACAAAGAACTGATATTATTATAGTTATTAATACTAAGGTAGGTCCTATATCATTGAGAGAGGAAAAATAGGTTCTATTTAGTTTCATTAAAATGAGAAAAGCATTACAATCATAAAAATGCAAGAGATGCTTCATTAGTCTAAAAACAAATTCAGATCATTTATATTATAATGATTCTTTGTATTTCAAGAGTATATCCTGAGTGATAAGTCCCTATTATTGGTTGTACTTGTTATGGCATGTGAAAGAATGAATACAGTAAAACATACTCGGCCTCACTGTAAGCCTTTATCTCGTAGCTCCATGGCTCACCGGGTCTCAAGAGATGGCACCTTTGAAGGTTATCACCGAAATCGAGTAATCTACACTCTCCTTTAGATTCAACTCTGAGTAAAAACTGGAGTGGGACTTTTGAAAGGGCGCCACCTTCTAATGCACCGGTGACTCCTGGTCTGAAATCTTCAATCGTAATCGGTACAGCATACCACCCGGCTTCCATTTCTGTTACAGGGAATGTATATTTACATCTGTTCTGTAATGACAATATAATGGTCCATAGTTAATTTAAATGTTAGTAACAACAACAACGATTATAATAATGATGATGACGATGTTCATTATGATGATGACGATGATAACCACGACGATATTGGTGATAATAATGATATTGATGATAGTATTGGTGATGATGATAATTGACTGTACTTACAGCTTCCAATATTATCATAAATTAATATACAATTTCCAATATTGTCATAGCAACTCAGTATAATTAAAGAAACATAATCTGATATGAGATACATTTTTTGCATGTTGTTTATATATTTATTTAAAAATTTTTATTTTATATCTATTATATTCTCTTTTGTTAAGGGATCAATTTGAGACAAATTTTTAAACTTCTAATCTGATTCCTAAATCGTAATTTATAGCTATTAATTGTTTACTTTCACATGGATATCGATTTGAATAAATGTTACTGAACTGAACTGAAAAGCTTTCAATATGTAATGTCATTACAACTTTGCATACTCATTGCTTCCAATAATGTAATAACAACTTTGTATACCTACTGCTTCCAATAATGTCATAACACCTTAGTATATTTACTTCTTCTAAAATGTCATAACAACTTAAGGCAAAGAACTTAAATAGCAGAAGAATGAGCTGTTCCGCGTATTTGCATTAAAAACGATGGAACATCCGCCCTCATGCGGTTGCAGTAAAATTTGAACATTTTACTAAGTGGAGAAACTACAGGAAACAAACGAACCAGAGCGGCGCCTTTATTATTACTATATAGCGCCGCCGCGCGGATGCAGTAAAATTTTTCTCCGTGTACCCACAATGCATTTTGACCGGATGTTCCACTATTCTGGGAGGTGCTCTATCTTCTGCTATTTATTATCTTTGCTTAAGGCCAACTCAGACAGTGTCGTACGATGCAGCCCGACGCGATTTGTTGTCGCGTCGGGTCTGTGTGAGTTGAACGCAGACGCGATGGTGTGCGTCGGGGGCAGTCGCGTAGTAGAATATTAAACATGTTTAATATTTCTCACGACGACTTAAGACTGTCCCCGACGATAAATCGGGTCGGGCTGCGTCGGCCGACGCCTTCTGAGTTGGCCTTTAGTAAACTTACTGCTTCCAATCATATAATAACAACTATGGATACTCATTGCTTCCAACAATGTCATAACAACTTAAGCCAGACACTCACTGCGTCGTACGACGGTAGTACGACGAATCCACATTTGCTTCCAGCGAGCGATAGACGATGCAACGCCGTCTGCTGATTGTCAGTGGCAATCTGAACGGATCCTCATTAAAAAGACGATCCGTTGGGTCCGCGTCTTCGCATGCATTCTTCGTCGCGTTGCCGTCGCGTCGCACGCAGTGAGTAACCGGCTTTAGTATGCTTACTGCTTCCATTACGGCGTTTTCAACAGGATCGCCACATAATTTATTCCTTCCGCATCTTCCTCTAGAACAGGCAACATCCGGGCACTCGTTTGGTTTAGTGGACCATCTACATCGGATTTTATCGTCATCTTGATCGGAAACTGAATTATTTTTATAAAATATCAAATGAAATTTTTGTTTAATATGTTTTCTGGATGTACAATATGTTATAATATCGAATGTTACTAACGGCAGAGTTTTTTTCGGAATGAAAACAAGTATGAGCGTAAAGAAATCGGCCTGTTTCACGTCTCTACACTACGGTTTTCTGCATATACCAGAGACGTAAAGACAAGTCAAGTAAACTTTCCACGAAGACCCACCCTTTGATATTATTGTTAAGGTCAAAACAATAGCAAGTGTACGTAAACACGTTTGTTTGTGGGGCAATACGTGTTTGTGTCGGACAAGTAGGTATTCTTGGGTCTGTTCTTGGGAACATTCTGTCCTAATTTCTTTCCGTGTCTATACATGTGCAATAATGCACACTTGACCAATAGTTTAACATTCTATTTGAAGAACAAGGTAATCAGAGTAATTTGATTGGCTTACCTGGAATATAGATAGAAACATCACCACATTCTTTGACGACACTGATCATTGCAGGATGTGTTGTTTTAGGTGAGGAGTTTGGAATTGTCAAATCAACTACGGAAACCATTCTCCATGCGTTTCCAGCTCCTCCGTAGTTCTTTAACTCAGACATCCACTGGCTGTTAAAGTTGAACTCGTTTGGAAGCTGTGATTCTTGATAGCTGAAGCAGTTTCATTTTATAATCATATTTAATATTGATTATCAACTTGATGTTAGTGTTTCTAAAGTCAACAATTTACGTATCTGAGTTTTCACTACATTTACGCAGTATATTTATATGTTTCAAAACACACGTGTACACACACCCACACCCACCCACCCACATACACACACA